ACAGCAATTTATACTATCGAGAGTCTTGCCTACGCATCTTCTGCACCCAGCCACATTTCTCTGAGAGTAAACAGACAACAGCCCCACGAGCTCCACAGAACAACCCAAACTCAAGCCTGCAGTGATGCTTCTGCTACTCTGACAAAAGGGAAAAAAGATATTTTGCCATTGTTCTGGTCAGAAAAAAAGTAGTGACGGAACAGTAGAAAGACCTGGAAATTACAGGAAATGTCTTATAACTATGAGAAAGTCTCTTTAGGATAATAAAAAAAGAATCCTAATAAAGAATGGCAGGGACACAGTAAGAAATTCTGTGTATAAAATTCCAGGTTCCATCAAGGGCAGAAACATTAAAACACAACAGCTAAACTACCCACCAAGCCACAGCCACCCTCAAAAGTCCCAACCAACCTCCTCTTTACAGCACCAAGTCCATGCTGATAGAAAGCTACTAAGTTTTACACAGCCTGTAAGGCATGACTTAATTGCAGAAAGCTTTCCAAGAAACTCTAGTATAACCAAGTTTTTTCAAAGCACTATGTGACTGGCAAGTGCTGTCTAGCCTCTTATTTTATTCTCTGGTATGTATATAATCCTCATGAGTATTAAACTGCTCTGATCAAACATTCTCTTTCAAGGCTCATTTTCTTGTGTCTGTTCAGTTACCTATTATGGATCATATTTCAGCCTCTAAAGTCACAGTGGAGAAACTGGCCAGGCGTTAGCCAAGAGAAACTTGCTCAGTGTAGGTGGTTGGACTCAGGGCAGAATTTGTCATCTTGAAAATACTGGAGTGAATGTGGCCCAGCTTGGTAGCAAACAATTGTTGGCTGGCAGACAACATTAAGCTCTCTTAAGCTATTTTCTGTGTGATCAATTCACCAATTAAAACACCAGCACATCAATTCCTTTTATCTAATTCATTATTTATAAGTCATCCATCCAGCCTCCTCAAGCACTTAATCTTCACAACACCTGTTCATCAGAGACAAACATCATAGCAGGCAGGCAACAATGGACCAGTTACCAATGGGTTATGTGACTCTCCCTTCTCAAGAATTCACAGGACGTCTATGGCAAAGTATTGAACTGACTTAAGGTCATTTCCATCCCCATCCACTTTAATCTTCTTTACTATTTCATACCCTTGCTGAATAGTCTGATCACAAGTTAAAGCACTGAAAAAGCACACACATATTCCTAGCTCATGGCAGAGCTGACAGGGTTCTATGGGAAGTCCGTATTTGCTGGAGATTTGTATTTCTTTAGGAAGCGAGACATTTAAATAATGTCCCTCACTAGAATTAATATGCAAGGTCATTAACTGGGATTTGGATTCCTAAGTCACATTAACATCAAAGGACACTGAACAGCAAAATAAGTCTCATTTAGCTCCCTGAAGATATACCCAACAGATCTCTATCAAACTAATTAAAGAATGACATTCCAGGCTGAATGTCCAGTCACTGCACTCCCTTGGGGCAAAAGCACCCCAGGTGCTCCCAAAGCTACCAGGCTTGTGCTATCCAAGAGGTTGCCAGAGAAGTGCTGGAAACAGCTCCCATATAAATGCTACAGCTGAACCCCCTAACTAATTGCACGGACTTCAGGGAGCTATCATGTGGCACAGAAGCCCAACACAAGAGGGGAAGCTATATGTAAGTAAGGAGCAAGGCAGGACATAGAAGTGATCTACCCCAACAGTATGGTGGGGATAAGTACATATCTGATATAACACATGTGAAAACCCCTGAACTCAACTAGTCATAGTCTGAGGAAATGCAAAGAGATAACTTGTCCTCCCCATTCTCACACTAGGATCACGGTCTTAACACCCCCCACCCCCGACATTATGAAGAACCTCTATTTATCTAGAACTGTGGTTTCAAAATCAGCAAACGGCTTTTACTTTTTAAGGGAGAAAAAAGGGAGTATGAGGTTTACACCTTCTCCTTCTCATGACCAGACTTCATTCTTCAGTTCCAGAAGGAAAAGAAGGAAATAAGTAAGGGCATGGCCATCCTGCTAAACAGCAGTAACATCAGCACAACTTGCTAGCGGGAGCCAGATGCTGCTTTGTGGAGAATAGCGAATCTAGTAAGTACCACAATCAATATTGTTTCTATTTCTGAAACCAAGCCAGTATCTATCTCAGCTGGACATGGCAGATCATGAATTTCTGTCCCCCATACTTATGCAGTATAGATGTGCCCTAGATCATTAACTTCCCCAAATATACTGAAGTGCTGATATACTTTCCTTGTATTCAGCATATTCTAAGGACACACCAAACTTTCCTACTAAACAAGATGGAACATTTTCCCTGCCATGCAGTACTCTAAATACACATTCAGCTGCTGCTCTTGGAAGAGACCTCACTCACAAATATGTATTTTTCTCCTTGACTATTTGTCACACTGCCTTTAACACTTCTGGTATGTTACCACTATGGATCTCAGATCCAAGTCGTGGACTAGGGTCACTTGGTGGAAAGATGATACATAACTCTAGTATCACGGAATATTCCAGACCATATCCCCAAGCTCTGCTACTACACCCAAAAATATTACAACAGAAATGGTGAATGGCAGATTCAAAACGGATGAGCAGCCAGGGCCTGATTTGTGTTACAGTGGATGATGCAATCTGCACCTGATCAAGATGAAAGCAGGAAAGGGAAAAGGGACATGGTCAGGATTCTCCATCCTGCACCTATCTTGGCTGTATTTCTGGTCATTGCCATTGCTCTATTTTCAAAGCTATTCTTTTACAATGTTAGGCATCAATCCGTCACAGTGCAGTTCTTTAACAAATGCCAAGCAAAGATGAACTTTTACCTAATTTGCACATCATGCAGGCAAACGCCAACGCAGGATGTGGCCCAGTGCACTGATCTGGAGTCTGGCAACAGTTTGTTAGAAGAGAATGAAGAGTAAGTTCAGAGTACTGGTGACAGCAACATCTCCCACACTGGCTGAGGTTGTGTGGCAGAACCATACCACAGACTCCAAAACCAAAGCTTCTATTCAAATTCTCTAGCACACCCTTCATTTTGTAAAACAGCCAGTAATACTGAGTGCATTGTTACTGACAAGTCTAACATTACGAGCTTACTTCATCATAGCTACGCCTGTGAAGGTATTAGCTTTATTTTAAAAGATTAGGATTTACAGTAGGGGGAAAAAAAAACCAACTAAACAAATACAACATTAAGAACACTGGAGGAAGAGAAAAAGGTAGGCATAACTATAAAGAGGCAGTAGACAAGTAAAAAAGGAAGAAATTCATAGGGAATGAGAATAGTACTTAAAAACAGAGAGAAACCATACACTGTATTAAAGATGAAGGGTGATAAATGGGAAGATAAAGAGCCAAATTTTCTCCAACCACTGTGCCAAGTAAACATAATCTAATTCTAACAGAGCTACTGGGAATTACTCATCCAGCTGTTCTCAGCTGCCCAACCTATTTTGGAAATGCATGTGTCTGGCACTGGCCATGTCAGACCTGTGCTACATCCATTCCCCATTGACCTGAGGCCCCTTGCGGAATACAGCTGACAGGATTTTAGAGCTGCAACAGAACTGCTCTTATTCCTTCCCTATTTGGTGACTGCTCTGGAATAACTAGCTCTTCAATCCCCGAATTTTCCTTGCACAAAGCTGCACCAAGCATATCCAAAAGGAGCAGTGGGGCGTAGTGAGGTGATAAAAACATTCCCAGGAGAGTAATATTGTGGTAAAAAGTGTCACCTCTGTCAGTAGCTAACAGCAGACATCTAGGAGGACTACAGGACAGGCTAAATTTATAGCAACACTCCTGCATACTTTCTTATAAACTCAATCATCTCTGACTAGAATACTTCTGAATAAGAAAGGGTACGTTTGCATCTGATAGACTTCAATCAATTCCTTCCATGGATTTTTTCCATGCAAACTTTTAGCATCCATCACATTCTCTAATAAGGCAAGCCTAAGCATTTAGCGTCTTAACTATAAGCTGTGTGAAAGTGTCCTGTTTTGAACAGGGCCCTTGCTAGTTTCTTTGACACTTCCTCAGGGTTCTGTCAGACAGGACAGTGAACAATTTTGCCTATTTACTTTCTCCACAGCAATCAGAATTTCCAAAATGAGATCTTAAATAGCTCTACAAATGCAGGCAGTGCCATGTCCCCCATTTTATGGATGTACAAAGGGAGGCAAGAGAAGGCTTACTCAAGATAATCTAGCAGGCTAAAGGAAGAAATAGGCATAGAAACTGTATTATTTTATTTCCAACCCAGCGTCATAGCTATATGATGATATAACTTTTCAGTTTCTAGAATATTTGCTTTCAGTAAACAAAAACTCATCTAGATTTAAAAGAAAACAAACATACTGAGAAGACTGAGAACCACTTATATTGAAGGCTATAATTTAGAAGGAAAGCTCTTTAGACCATAAGACAGGCTTCCTTTCTAACCAAGTGTAATCTTTATACATACTCATGCCCATTTTAACATGTTTCCTTACATTTCATTCATGGCTAGAGGCCAAGGGCTCATCAGCAAATTATCCACTGCTACCAGCCTAGATATACATATCTACAAACTGAAGAAACCACATAGATTCAGCCCCCTCCTGTCTACCTCACTTTTCACTCAAATTTTTACTTCCATTTTACAAATACTCACAGCTCCACAAGATTCAACATTAAATTCTCTTACCTTAGCTGATATGGAGGTATCTTGATAGCAGCATTAGAGGAATCCAAGGTTTCTGTATAATCAAAGGAAACAATAGGGCTTTTAAAAGAAACTTTTTAGTTCAACCATAGTAATACATCTGTCTACAATCTCTGAACCAACGACCCTGAAGTTTATACCTACTCCAGCTGACAGCACAACAATCACTGCTGCTCCAGGTCTCCAAAGATTTGCATGAATCTGTCAGGACACTGGGTGCCCAATGAGAAGGCACAGAGTACCATCTTTTCCTCAGCAAACTCCCTTTCACATGTCAGCACTTTGGCAGCACAGATACTATAACTGGAACAGTACAGAGGATATTAGCATGGCTGCTGTGCAAGGATAACACACAATTAATGAAGCAACCCATCAAGCTGAAAGGCCAGTAAGAAGAGAGCAACAGGTATAACCCAGCACAGATTGCTCTAAGAATGTATGGATGAAAAATAAAAATTGAAAGCAATTTCAAGGATCACACTTATGCCAATGTAAGTTAAGAGTCTTGCTAACTATTGCTCCAGGTAGTCAGCATCAAAAGCACTTCAAGTGACAGCCAATCTCCGACAATGGGTGGATGCTGAAAGGTACCTAAGCTCATATTCCCGTAAAAGAAGAACTCATTTTATCGATCATTATTTCCATTATACAGCAAAGATAAACGAGCTCATGGAATCCAGCTTTTAAAAAAGATGCCCGAACATAAGTCAGCAGTGAAAGCTGTACCAGAGGTTTTTTTTACGATGATTTAGGAAGGGAGAGGGAAGCTTTCAGAGAAAAGACACCACCGCCACCCCCAACATACAGGGAAACTGATAGGTATCGATACCCGTACCTGCCTCGCAAGACCCACGAAGCAGACGAGGAGGCGGGGGGGGCGGGGGACACGGATGCTCTCCGGGACCGCCGAGCAGGTGCCACAGCCCCTTCCAGCGGCGCGGAGCTCCCGGGCGTTTTGAACCGCCTGAGGCGCTCCGGTCCCTCCCCACCCGCGGGAGGCTCAGCGGCCAGCGCGGAACAAGTTTGTGGAGGTCCCC